TCATGAGCAATTGGTAATACCCATCGACCAAGTCGGGTGCACTGTACTTCGTACATCCTACCATGTTGCTCTAAAGAACATCCTTTCTAGGAGCCGGCGTCTGTGTCGGAATGGTGGCAGCGTTTAGCTTATTGTAAGCATGAACGATACGTCACTTGCTGTTCGGCTTCCGAACATAAACATGGTGTCGAATGGGGAGACTTACTCTCACGTACCACTCCTGTGGCCTCTGTACAGAAGTTCTATGTCTCGGTGAGACCAGGGTGAACACGCATTCCACGTTGTCCGGTGTCACCCTCACTGTCCGCTTCTTTGGAGCTCCAATGTCATCTACAACATCCGACGAAGAGCTGCTAGCCCCGCAATCTTCGTCTAGTAGATAACGTGCCACTCCACGTGCATCTGAAGGGCCGTGCCCAAGATGCCTCGAACTCTGTCCGACCCCGCCATCAATGGCATGCAGCGACAGCTTCGGATCAAGAGCAGTGCTCAGTGGGTTACATGCCACTCCACGTTAAGCCCGCGAGCCACGCTCGGGACCCGTTGGTGTCTACCAACTCGGACACTCCAATGTCCAGCACGGTGTCCATCTCAGTCCAGTGCTCTCGCCAGTAGATCTTTTGTCTCCTAGCAGAGTTGGGTTCATGACTCGCCAAAGCTCCACCAAGAGACGTGCGCGTTTCGCCCAAGGTCTTTGACCTCCAACCAATCCATGGCTCATGGTTTCCCAACCAAGTCATTCCAAGGATAAGGTCACACCTTGCACCCAAGTCTAAGACTAGACAGCGTTCTACGCTTTTAATGTCGAGGAATTGACTCCGAGGTCCACAGGGACCTTCGGGATCGTGACACGTGTCCCCATCGCTAGGCGACAGTGCAAACCCGGCTTGCATACACGTTCCGTGTTCAAGAGCACGGGGCTCTTCGAAGCTAAGCCTTGTTGACCTATGCCTCCCTGAGGCTCGATAGAACTCAGTTCTTCCCCAGTGGGTCGCCCCGCGTATACTGGGTGGTGTCGTTTCCCCGCGATGAACCAGACTCGTAGGAATTGGGGTGATGGTTCAAAGAACCTTGCCGCGCCTTGCGCAGGAGGCAACCGTTCCAAAGATGACGGGTGTCTACACAGACAAAACAGCGTGGTGTGTTTGTGTGCTACCCTGCAGCTCGGAGCTCTGCTCCCTCGTCCTCAGCATAGTTGAAATCCATTGACATAGGCCCGCTCGACTAGCTGTTGGAGTGTGCATTCCAACCAAGTCGTGTCGACTTGAAATTGAATATGGTATTCAATACCACATTCACCGCCTCTTCAAACGAAGACGGATGCACACGGAAGACTTCCTATCTGGCCATGCCAGAGCGGAGGCCTTTCATAAAGACGATCACTGTGAACGCCTCCTGAAGGGGATTGGCTGCCATTCCGGAATGAGAGTACGCAACGCTTGGATAAAGTCCACCAACTTCTTCTTGCCCTGTCGGACAGCAACGAAACGCAATCCCATGCGATATACCTGATAAGACAGCGAAAATTCTCGAAGAAGCTGACGCTTCAGCTCCTTCCAGGAGGGGGACGCAGCTTCAACAGTAGCATCTTACGTCGGTAGATTCTCTCGATCCTTACCCTCGAAGGTCCAAACGCTCACCATGAGCGGCCTGGGACGGGAGGAAAAATCCGTCGTCGACGGTGGCGTCATGGACGCAGTCAACGCTGACAGCTTCTGCTGAAAATACTCCAATAAAGTATTTTTTTAATTTACAACGCCTCTAGCGCGCTTATGGCCTCAGTCCCTTGCGCGACGAAGTGCTCCACACCCTCAGGGCCCAGTACTGGGGCAAATAGGAGCATATTTCCATTTCCACAGAGATCAGTCGTAACGACTCAGGTGTATATTGAATACGAGTGCCACTAAGTGCAGCGGGGCTGCCGTAGCTCTTTGCTTAAAAGAAGCTTAGCTAAGGTCACCGACCTTAAAGGAGTATTGTGTAGCGAATCACAATTCACTACTTCGAAGTACTAAAAACCATAACCAAGCTAAACGAACACATCTGCACAAAATCGAGATTGTATTCAATTGTCTTAGTTGCGGCAGAACCGCCAATATCTAAAACCCTAGGTTTTTTAGATTTATGTAGTAACACCTGATTAATATTGCAATACCTAATAATATAGTAAAAACTAATTAATATGCATTACTACTGGCAATCCTACCACATGATGGCTTCTTGTTAGGGTATAGCCACACCACTGATCACACTAACGGTGTAATACAAGCTATGTACGGTCGCACAATCTTGTGCGACCCGCCCTTTCCTTCAAGGGCACATGTACCCCCGTTACACTCACAGCCTAGACGTGTTTGAAGTTAAAGTCAAGGTCAAATCACGGAAAAGGCGAGATAAATTAAGAGTATTGAGTAATCAGGTGCAAAGCGCGGCTCAAGGTAGCATTGGACAACACGCGAAGGCATTTGGGATACCAAATAAATTCGATCATTTTTAGACGGAAACATGCTGAAGGTTCTATTGAATCCCTTTAGTAATTGAAAGCTGTGACAGCGATATACCCCCTATTATCCCTGTTCTTACTTCGCGATCAAATTTAATCCAAGGTATAACCTAGATCGATATCAGCAATAGAGCGACCGGCAGTTAAAAAATGAGACAAGCATAGGTCAATGTGAAATTATCGTTGCTATTTCGGTGTCGAAAGTTTGATCCCTCGATCATGAGTATGGTTGACTTTGTGTCCCAGTCTTCCTAGCAAAACTTCAAATAAGGAGGCGACTGTAAACCAAGAATGGAAAATTTTATTTATGGTGCCATCGAGAATGATTCTTTCTCGTCACGATGTCACATCATCCCCGATTCAGCAAAACCGTACGGATCAGAGATATGTGATGGGTAAGTCTATTCGCTGTCAAAGGGTGTAGTAGTGGAGTCGTGAATAGTTTTTGTCGAATTCACAGTTTTTTGGCAGGGGCTTTCGCTGACATTGTGGGGATATACGCTGAGATATGTTATATAATTTCAAAACGGTAAGACCACTGAGTTGACCCTGTTAGTTGTTGAAGAGGAATTCGTCACGGATATTTCGTTATTACTGACACTGGTAATGGCACACACGGCGAGAACTGGAGCGGCTCTCCTTTAGAACCATAAGAATCCTTAAAAAAAGAGGTGTAGTGACATCACGGCGTGCTAGGAGAGATCCGATGATTACCTCATGAGTTTGAGCTGTCACATGGGGACAAGCAATATGTTTGATGAAAGCTTACGGCAGTCGAAAACTTTCAACACGCTGGATAAATCTACCATCTCACCATAAGTATCGAGTCCTCAGAAATGGGAGTTCTGCATAATAGCAGGGTCAGTTGTTCGTTTTTAGTGTTTTTGCCTGGTCGATGAAATTTTCACCGTCCATCTTAGCCAGTGATATTCTTCTTACTGCGACAGATACCTATAAAAGCATATTTCAAGAAGAGCTATTATGATTCGGGGATGCGACACGCATCAGATCCGTTTAAATTTCCAGACATAGCTATCTAAGCGGCATCATGCACACTGTCATAGACCTAACACTTTTAATCATACCACTGTGCTACTCAGTAGCCAATGTATTATTTCATTCTGCGTCCTATACATCGATCTGGCGCGCTCAAAGAGCCTCCAAATCTTGCACCTTACCCGACCCTCGCGGATTGATAGCTGTGTTCCGCATACAATACGACGCTCGTTGATTCCTTGGATGAGTTTGCGTGGATTCAAATGGTCGATAGAGGAGCTACACCTGCTCGGCGTCCATCCAGGTAGAAAGTCTCCGTTTTCGGATTCCGAAAGAGACCGCGCCGCCATTCCGGTTGCCCGAATTCCCATCATATGATGTAGTATGCAGATTATTATAGCCCTTTACGAATTAAAAAAAAAGTTTTTACAAGATGTGATTCTGTGTAGGTTATGCAAACGGATCCATTGCAACCATCTAACATGTTGTTGCTCAGTCTAAACTAGGTGGATTTCATGTTTAGGTGACTAGAGAGCCCATTACAAACCGACCTAGACTCTTGATTGCTAGGTGCAAGACTGTTTCGTTGTATGTGGTTGCATGTGTACGATCTAGTCTGGATAAGGCTGATCATGTATGTGCACAATTCTGCCCTCGGAACATCAAGATACATCATATAGTATTTTTAACGAGCTGGTTCCTCCATCGGTCGCCCAAGTCGAGGAAGCGATTATTGTCTCCTGGAAGCGTTCACATGCTCTATAACGCGCATGGTGCGACACCTACGTTGCGCGCTAACCAAACATCTGAGAGCACAATCGATGTCCACAA